TTGGATCATATTATTTGCATAATCTAAATCTCCGAGACCGTTACTGGAGAACAAGTCAACCATTAAGTTGCTGAATTCGATCCGCATTAGTACATTTGTAGTGAAATCACTTAAAAGTAGTTACATTGGGCCGACTTTACTTCGGATGATAAACCTCCGTAAGATCTTACACTGCTGTATGAAGTTTAGTAGAGTGCGACACTGTTTCGGGACTCCACTGCCAGATATTGCCACATTACGACTGAGCCATTTTCACTAAAATTAATTTCCTGTGAGGATGCAATGGATACATCCACTGGCCACTATTCATAATTCTAATACACCTATTCAGTCTTGGAAAACACATGGATGCCAAGAATTGCACCATAGCAAATAAAAACAAACGCAAGGAGTAAATAAAGAAAATATGTAAGGAATAAGAGAATCAACAATTACATATTCATGCTAATAGCATCTAATGGACCATCAGTTATCTCGTATTTCTGAACAATATATCATAGCACCCTAGGCTATTTAGTTGCGTGATCTCTCAAACTCTATCCAATGACTTGTGATGCACGAACAAACACTAATCTAACACAACTATCATTCACCTTACACTGCTAACCACATTTCCTCTTCTACCAGCCAGTTCAAGAAATGAAGAACAGTGACAGGTATAGAAACTACTGAGACAATATACTTCACTGAAAGATGATCACCGTTTGTCTGGACACGCACCATTCGACTTCAGAATTACTCGAATCATGTGGACGAAAGCAGTCTCTACGAAGGCAGCATTGATCAAAGTTTGAGAGTCACCAGACATCCTCAACTTCCACAAACGCAGAAGAGAAGTGTGTTACAAACTCGACCTTTCCTAGTCAGAATGACACTACAAAAGGGTCAGAAGCGACCGACACTGATATGTACCACTATGAATTTCGACACGCAGCAATCAAAACTATTGAACTTTCAAATGTTTCTAACGCCTTATATGTAAGAAAAGTACAAGCACATGAACCTATTAGTGTTGCCAAAAGTATACTGCATTTTGATGGTGTAAATCACATACCATATTTACAGATAGATAGTAATCTGACTAGGTGAGAACTGGACAGCTTGTAGGTATTGCAAAGTAAAACAATGTCGTCAGTGTTGGAGGCTAAATAGTTTTTCTTAGGGTAGCAATAATATAATACCAGCACCAGGTATCTTTCGCAGATGTCTGCAGAAAGTTATCAATGATATATTTAAAGAGGAAAACAAAAGCAGACAGTACCCCACTACCTAAAAGCTTGCTTGGAACAGTGAACATATGTGGTTGTGGACCCATACTTGAGACTTTTCTATACAGTGCTTCCAGATAATGATTACGTTTTCGGAAACAAATCTCTTCAGAATGTAAACTCAAATGAAAGGTTTTTCAACGAACCGGAGTCATCCTTAAAGTTAGGAAATGTAACAGCTATTAGCCTACAATATATGTAGTGGTGTTTCAGCAATTTGTACAGCCCCTTTCTTCGTCGTATTCTTGTAAGGTATGAAAAATCCCCATGTCATTTAATTAAGAACGCATAAGTCAGCAAAAAGATCTGTTTTTTCAAATTCATTTTAAAGCTGTACAGTTATTTATTGTCAATTAGCACTGTATATATAAACACATACAGAATCGTACTGCGATGGACTAACACTTGTAGAAAGGAGAATAATCAAATATACAATATCATAACAAAACTTAGTAGCGAGCAGAATGAATTAGAATTTCCCAAAATGTATGTTTGACTTCAGACATACTAAAACAACAAGTACCAAAATGAATAAAACGTGTGTCCAAAGGTTTTAACCAGCTGGTTGAAATCATTTAACATTCATATGCAAGCCTCAGGAGCTAAATAAGTTTAAGATAGTCAGAACATATTGTCTGCATTGGCTCCTAGTTTAAACGTCGGGCGGAAATGTTGCTAAGTGGCTTAAGCACTCAGTTTTTTGCCAATGGGGTGACGAGTTTCAACCCGCTTTGTCTATTTTAGTTGGATAACTTGGTAGTCCCATAACCCCTCACACGATAAGCGCGGTTTTTAACCCTGTACATGAAGTCTAAACAATCCAAGAGTTGGGAGTGAGGTGATTGAATGCGTTACCCACTTTATTTATTTGGAAATATGCATTATCCAAAATAGTTTGGTTACTGACAAAATCTCAGTACAGATACAAAGTATTCATTTGACGCTAATTAACTTTGACACCTGCAAGATAACTAGCCAGCCATCAAAGGGCAAGTGCACCTTACAGCTGACACATTGCCACAGAAATTAGAAGAAATGGAAAGATTACAGGTTTTTCACCAAAACCATCTTCATATAGTTGCTCACATTTTATGGAGCGACATGTTAAGTAAGCGTAATATTATGTAATGAAGGTGAGCAAGTCGGTGAGGTTGTGTATCTTCATTGGATCAAGTGACAAGAACATGCGTTACACATAAAAAGCTACCACTTTAATAAAAGAATGTTAGTTGAAGCGAAATAAGACTGAAAAGGAGTTAAGCATGGTCAGGCCAAATTACGGCATAAATTTATAAAGTCACTAACCGAACCACGTAGGTAAATGCAGATTGAATATTTGAGATGCTAAAAACCAAAGGCTGCAAACTAACAGTGACATCGTAGAATATCATTTAATGTCGGAAGCGCATTCACTGCCCAGTACAATCTCTGCTCTGGGAATCACTACTATTTCGTATACCTCTGTCTACTGCAGTGTTACTACATTTCCGTCCTTTTCCTGTATACTTTTCGAAACGTAGCAGCTTCGATTAATGCGCATCTAAGAGAAGCTTAACGATAATTCTCATTCAGTTACTGCGTCCATGGAATTCTGAGGTACGTAAATCGATCGTCTCAGTATTCTAAGGCTTGCATTCCAACAGTGCCAGTAAAGCCATATTAATTAATAATGAATGTGAACATGCCAAATGAGTTGATAGTATATCAAGAAAAACCATAATACTATAAAACATAACGTATAAATATCAGTTGGAGGAAAACTATACAGGAAATAAAAACCTATGTAACGACCATTTGGAACTAAGAAAAGTAGTAAATTACAAAGCTGTCTTTTTTTATAAGTTTAGAAAGTTTTCAGGGACCCAACATTAATTAGTGTCATTTATATTGAACATTTTGGTCACATAAACTTGTGAAACTACTTGTATAAAAACTAAAAGGTCACGTGTCAATAGGAAATATAAGAAAATTAATAGGTGTGAAAACAAGTAACCATCGGAATTGAGTTATCATGGGAACAAAACTAAGTCACTCATACCAAAGTAAGTTGAAAATGAGCAAAAATTACTCTAAATACATAAGGCGTTTGAGATTAAGACAGATAAAGAGACTTATAAGAACTTTGTTAGTCTTTGACAATGTCTGGACATTATACTGAGGCTGTTTCTAAGTCAATCCGATGATTGAATTGCTAAATACGGAGACTCAACTGATAGTTTCTACTTTGACGTGGTGGTTGAGTTTGTATATTGTAATGATCCAGTAAGTTACACTGGCTGAAATGAAGGTCTTAACAGGTCCTTCCACGCCAGTTGCCATTGTAGTGCAAACTGTTCATACTATGTTGAGGAGTCTGAGAGCGAAGTCGTACTGTTGAAGAATAAAGATGTTATAAAAGTTGGGTGTTTTTGTCAGATGACTAGAAAGCCAACTATGTTGCCTCTGAATTCTGGGGAGGGGTGTCAGAAAAGGTCAACCTCAAAAATTTTACATCCTGACTCGCCTTGAGGTGAACCGTAGTCAGAGGTAAGGTCTTTGTAAAAATAACTCTGAAAACCAACTTAAACAGGCCGTGCGATCAGCCTCATGCAGTTGTCCCCTAGACTTACCAGTCACGCAATACCGATGCTTCTTCTGTTTCAAGAAGAAATCAATTACGGTGTGATTAGCCTGGAAGGAATAATCAGCCACATCCCAATATAAAACGGATGTTCGCCAGCTACATGGGAATCGGAATCATTTGCAGCGGTCTACAAAAACACTTCAATTTCAACTGGATATCGAGGTTTCTACTTCTGAATGCAAACTGCCGAACACAATAAAGTGGTTTAGTTGCATAGTGAGGTATTATGCATTTTCAGGTGCGATGACTAAGGCGAAAAAACATGCTTTTATGACTACCTATCTACACATTTGTGAAGTTAGGGTTATTTGACGTTTCTCTACTTGGTAAAATGCATTGAACATTTTTCTTAGGAGCCGAACACTAGGTAGGTTTGAATGTTTTACGACTTTTGTCTCTAGATAAACTTCACTGGATGCCGATTTTAGCACATTTTTTGGCATAATGCCCTCCTCTTGTATATTTTTGTGAACAATGATACGCAGCGAAGCTCTTATGCTTACTATTCCAGGAACCACCATTTTCCTTTCACCGACATTTCTCACTTTTGGTAATTTTAAGATATGCAAAGTTGTATCTAACAATGACGACAGATATAATTGGTGAATTGATCAATGGTTTCACCAGTAGTGTGGATACTGCTTTCATGAGATAATAAAAACATGAGGTATATACAATGGGGTCATTATTCTATACACTAGACAACTGCTAAGTGGCAATTGCCTTAAGATATATTAACCTAACGCGTGTTAGCTGATAATACCCATGATGTGAGTTAAAGACAGCTAAACACTCACACAAAAAGCTTCGGAGCTATAAAATATGTCAGCCGATAATTTCACTGAAATACATGTATTTGCAAATTGCTATCTGGCTTGTGACAAGATCCGTCAACCCAGTAAAATGTTTTGTAAAGTGTGAATTTGCGACGCGCTTTGAGAAAAGCCTAATATCAAGTATACCATCGAGTATTCAAATGGCTTTAACAGTGTGAAAATGTTAAATTACTTAAGAACAACATAGATGGATTCAGTGAATGAGAACTCTTAAAAGCACACTATTTAAAAGTAGTAAGACAAAAAAATGTCTTAAGGATTTCATCTGCTTACCCAGTTCTTTGCAGGCAGCTTTAACTTCTTCAACATTACGAACTATGATGAATTTTGGAACTGGTATTTCGTATTTTTTCAACAGTTCCATAGCCGTGTACTCATGAATTTTCAGATTTCTAGCACACTTCACCTATTTAAAAGGAAATATAACTTTGGTGGAGAATTACATTTCGCAGCAATTTGTTAGATTCGAAAACAAGCCTCCGAAACATATCCACCGAAGTAGCGCAATCAATAAATGTCGCGGATAAGTTTTAACTAAGGTACAAGCTTTTGGTTAAAGTTAGAAGGCATATGTTAGACCTTTTCCTGGTGGATGTTCGTGATTGTATTAAAAAACAGGCAAATCACTAAACTGTTCTCCTAGGCACAACCTGTTCTATGAGTCGGCGCTGAGAATTAATTATTCAGTAAGAGAACGAACACATGGTAACAGTATGGTTCCTTATTCACTTTTCAGCTCTTCAGATAATTTACTTGAGGTGTTCCGACCTATTGGAAGGGAGCAAATACGACATATCAGTTCAACAGTCATTTACTAAAATCTCGAACATAGTTATCTTCATTATAATAAATGATTTTTTTGTATTTCCTAATGAATGAAAAACAAAACGACATTGTTTTTACTGACGCTTCGCTATGTAATGCTAATGGCTTTATCAAAGTATTATTAAACCAGAATTTACAAAATCTCAGTTTATATATAACAACTTAATCATCGTTCCTCAGCATGGGGTCATTTTCGCATTGTAAAGGTAGAGTATGACGACCAGTGAATTTGTCTATATTGCATATACTGTTGGTTTTGTGTTCTCATACCTCCTGTTGCTAATTGTAATATATAGTTTCATTCAATCCCTGATGCTGAGGATCTGGTCAGTAACACAGTAGCTTAGGTGAACAATGTAAAATTCTGATTTTCGGATTATTATCCGTTGTGTACCACAAAAGTGACTCGTCTGAACGGAGTAACCCTAATTTCATCCAGCTGTCAGAACTGCCAAGGAAAAGTTCGAGAAGTTAATAATAGTCAGAGGAAGAACACCCACGGTACCAGGTGGAAAACAAAGGGGCACTGCATCAATATAAAACGACATTCTCAGCATACACTAAATTCCGGTACTCAGAAACATGACAACAATAATATTTACTCTATTTTGAACGAGTCGTTACAATTGTTCGAGTCCGATTGCACAAATAAAAGCAAAAGAAACGACTATGAAGTCTGAAGTGAATAAAAATAATTGCACAGGTAACGTTAACGCACGAATGATTGCTAGGAGTAGTGGGATATTTAATTGTAAGAACGTATTTCGACCGTTTGCTGGTGTTCCTCCTTATGGATGGGATGCACACTAGACTGAGTTCGTCTGAGTGTTTACGTTTAGCCATGTGAGCACAGCTTCCGAGTGAATTACTGTTATTTCCTTTTGAAGAAATTTATAAGGAGGCCATCAGTATCAGGAAAATGTGCTGTAGACAGAAGACAACTCTCCGGAAGTCAGAATACTATTTTACGAATATGATAACCGACCTGATTTCAACCTCAGCGGCATATTAAGACGGTAGGTAAGTAGATGATTCACCCATCAACCAGGTATAGGCTAATGCAGCAATTTGATTATATGATAGCCTGACCATGTGATTCACAGTTTATAACTATCAGTACACTGATTGTATTGCTCCGGTCTTCTGTCAGCGAGCAGATGTCAGGGCCATAACATGGATTACTGCCTCCAGCGAACAGGAAACTGGTTCGAGTGGACAAGTGTACTGAACATCCACTCAGTGTTCACCCTCAGTGATAGGCACAGTTTAAGTATCAATCAAGGTGATTGCATTTGACAATCCAAGTGTCTTTCGACAACAGTTTCAGTTGGATCAAAAGTATGCTGCTAATCTTATTGACAGTCCCCAAACTTTGTATTTTCAGAATAGGATGGGGTGGAATAAGCAAGAAGGATGAGTGAAATACAAAACCCAGCGACTTACAGTGAAAGAGGATGAACTTTACCAGAGATTATCAGCTTCCATGTGCATTAGTCCAAACAAAGAAAATGAGTCGACGATCAGTGAAGATCAGAAGAAAGACCAATGTCATTTATGGTTATATTTGACTTATTCAGTGCGATATTACAACCAAAGTTACAATTGCCGTTTATTAGAGCAGTGTGGTCCACGAGAGAAACTGAAATTATCACTCTCACTCGTACATTTAGGAACGTACTGTCAGACACCAATGTTACACTTTTCACATTAGTTTCATTTCTTGGTAAATTAAATAGTTCGCTGTTCATCACCTACCTTTGTGCACCAACTGGTGGCCATTTGGTCTAGTCATCTCATTCTTTGCGTTTAGAGGCCAGTTAACCACAAATTACAGGTTTGTAATATAATTATTTTGTGTTTGTTTAAGACAAGTACAAGAAAAATTGGCCTGCTTATATCTCTTGACTGTCTGATTCTTTCGATCAGTTTAAATAGTTCATGTTAACAACATTTCATTTTGTTTTAACTGTCAAATTGTGTCTATGAATCACAATCAACCCCATGCGTATTCTCAGAAAAGTCTCAACCCTCTATTAAGAATTTTTAAAAGAATATAGAAGAAATCCTTCGCTGAGTAATGGATCATGCTTCGTGTGGAGTAATATCGCTTCGAATGATACATTGTGGATTATTATTGTGTTGCTTGAATATCTTGCGCAAGGATTATATACCTCGCAATAATGCAAGCTGTAAATTTCCTGCATGTTAGAAACGCGCTTTTCAGAGTGGTCTAATTACGCAGTGTCTTAAAAGTTTTGGCATTCAGCATGACTCTGCTTACAACTACTTAGTCTTTTGACTTTACCGTCGCACTGAATTCCGCAAGTCCGCATCCTAACTGCAAGTTTTTTGCCGAAACACTGATATTTCAGTGCATTCACTTCGAGATCGTCCGTCATGATCATCTATGCTGTTCTGCATATCATCTACAAGGAACTAATGTATGTCGAACATTTTGCAGAAACTAGAGGTTTTATTGTCCAGGTATTCAGAAACTAGTAAAATATTGACAACATAAAATGGATTCGTTTAATCTTGCTTTACGGGTCCTTATATTTGTACTCATATTCACTGAGATGAATTCCCTCATGTGATTTTTCAAAAGCCTTGTCTGAGCAATACCTTTTTAAGTGAATCGGTCCGTAGTGATAAATGTACGTTAAAAATTTAGGAGGTTTTAATTCTGGTACCTTAGGACCATGTTCACTGACGGGACTGGGAACATTTACAAGGCTACCACTTTCTGACTTCAAAAAATATTAGAAATGCCGAAAAGGGTAACCTAAGACACGTAATATCTGTAAATGAACTAGTAGTGGGCGTTTGAACCTTTGAAAGAAATATTATATCGTTCTCCGATATTAGAGACTCAGCGCTTACAGTAAAAATAATGAAGTAGTTAAGTTCGCATAACCTGGCTAAGAAGGTTTTCACTGGGTGAGATTGAGCACTGTGAAAGTTTGAGACATATAACGGCTTACTATAATGAAGCCGATTGGAAGAATCACATAAACCCTGTTATCGAAATAGCGGCCGCGAAAAAATGGATTGTGTCGGATGAAATGTGCGTGTATTGGAGCAGTGTAAGAGAGTCTGAAGTTCAAGCATGTATAGACCCTGGACAAGATTGGCTTTTTACTCCCTGTCAGACGCTAGTCGAGAAACGTAACTATTCTGGTATTAGCTACATTCCCGTAATTAAACTCTCTTCTAGAAGCCAAAAATACTTTGTCGGTTATACTATGAATTCACAATACCATGGGCAGGTCAGATAATCTCGAGGAGACCTTGCGCCTAATCAATACCAAACGTCAATGGTAGGTCCTTATTGTTTAATGACTCGATACAGAGTGGAGACAAAGGATTACGCCTCATATGTTTATGACTCCGCTGAACTAGAAGCGGTGGAGACACAGAAAGTTTGTGGGCCATCTAAATACCCTAATACCAATTTCATGCAAACTCTGATGTCCCCGATAGCCAGGTAGCGCACTCATTTAATATTCTTATTCCTTCAGCACTTCCAGTCAACAAATGCCAGTGACGACGTCGTCACCAGTAATAATAATAATAACAATTTATATTTTCATATAAACGTAAATTTACATGAAAATGCATGCCATTTTTACAGGCACGATCAAGTGTGATATAATGTCAAATAGTAGATTGTCTACAAGTTAATAATGTTTCAACAGCTAAATATTTGATATATATGTGTAAATACACTCTTTGTCTGACCCATGTCGTATCATTATTGAATTAAACAGCAGTCCTCCAGGTTGCGCAGGAAAATCGACTTCATTTCATTTTCAACCCGTAGTTGTAGGCATACGATAACCAACCAATATTGAGGTAAGTACAACGTTTACAAGGGATAGTAAGCTGTTTTAGAAAAGTAAAGGTGCTAAGGTGAATCATTAAAGTGTAATGAAATAGGTAAGTGCAATGTATCATTAATATATGCATTCATAAAAGAAATACAGTGGGAGACTATAGTCCCTAGGCTGACAAAGTTCATTTGCAATGTATAACGCTACCCTATGGGTCTTACTATCATGATGTCCACTTTTGGTTTAATACAACTATCCACAAGCCGGTTGTTTTTATTTCATACCTTTTTGTGTATTTGGTGCACAACCGTACCCTATAGAGAATAGGAATAAAATAAGTCGAATCAAATTCATAAAGAGCTATAAAATGTTAGGTTTAGTGGAATAAAATGAGCAAGTGAAGACGTTATTAGAAAATGTACGAGATGAGACATTGTAAAGTGATATTCGAAGATACGACAAAGGACAGCATGTCACACAGCCAATTCAGCAGACCATGTATGTTATTTATAATTACCGGTTACTTTGCAGTAACACGGATTCCATCAATAGGTTGGTTACTAAGTCACAGTCCCTTAAAGGAGAGGTGCAGTACCTTGTTAAAGTGGTGACGCAGTTGGTTTTAATTAATAGGTCGAGTAACTTGTCCATCTTGGGAACCAGTAAGTCCTCCATTGACAATAGTCAACTGGAATTCCCTTGGGCAACTGAAGAAGGGAAGAAGAACTAAGAAGGAAAAAGAACTAAGCCAACCGGAAGCGTCACTGAAAACCCCGAAATTCAGAGATTCATTCGTAAGTTTACAATTTACCATCGATTACGTTTAGATGACGAAAATGGTTGGCGATTTATAGTTTATACCGCAGCGTCCGTTGAGACGTATGCTTAATTACACTCGGGAGCCTTAGCTGTCAAATCTCTTCACAACATTTGGAACACCAACGAAGTTAGCTTCTATAAAGTCATAACGTGCAAGCTTGCTCTATTTAAATATTTCTTTCAACCGTCATTATTAGCAAGTTCGTTTCTGCTACAATGACCGAGGAAGAATTTAGGAAGACTTTGAAAACCTGTACTAAGGTCTAATTCCATGACGTACGTGAT